TATTTATTTATTTATCATTTAATTCTGCAAAGAACGTGCGTGATATGGAAAAAGACCATGCCTGATATGAGACCGTATCAGCACTTCCCATCTGCTCGAGCTGGGTATACGATAGCATTTATTTCCAGAAATGAATGATAAACAACTTATCAGTAGGCTAAGCATCTGATACGGCTTTGATAACTTCTATATATATATATATGTATATATATAAACTTTGACCCTTTCAATTTGACAGAAGGTACATTCAAACGACGACACGCAACACCAACTATCATTTAGGAACAAAAAAAATACGCAAACAGCACTGAACTTTCAAAATACATCTGGAAACTAAAAGACGACAAGAAAAATTACAAGATCAACTGGTCAATAATAGCCTCAGCAAGTCCATACAACAACATCTCCAAAAGGTGTAATCTCTGCCTAACAGAAAAGCTTTAAAACTAGCCTCCTCAACAAAAGATCAGCGTTAATTTCTAAATGCCGCCACGAGAACAAGTACTACTTAATGAACACCTAAAGCAAATCCAGAGAGCCGCAGAACAATCGAATTTTTAATTATTAATTATACAACTGCACTAAATATAGGTGTCGCCACCCGTGCATATATAGTTACCTTAGTATCATATATTCTTCATTAAATTCTGTCTAATGATCGCGTAAGCGTGAAGAGAGAGAGAGAGAGAACCCCATGTAACAAGAAGATGGAAACGTTTCTGTCTTAGATTTATTATTTATCTTTCCTTGAACGTTTTAGGATAATAATAATTATTATGACGATGATGATGATGATGATGATGATGATGATAATGATGAAATTAAAGTTGATTAAGTTACATTTTTTTTATAATGATCTTAGCTCATAGATTGCAATTGGCAGCTTTGTAACTTTGGAGACTTTCCAGAGCTTGCAAGCAAAGAAGCTTGTCAAAGATGTAAAGATCAAGAAATGTGTTTCAAGGCTAAGGTAAACAGATCTCTTTTACTATATCTTTTATCTCATTTACTACTTTATAGATATAAAAGGAAAGCGATATAAAAGGAAAGCAGTAGCAGTGCTGCCTTTGCAATTAGTAAGACCTTCACGTGGCTCGGATGACAACGTTAACGTGGCGGTCCCGTCCCTAATCAACTAGAGACGTTAAAAGAGGACAACGAGTTTATCGGTTGAATTACTGTGTCGTTCTCTATAAACAAAGTTGATTTGAAGTTTATTTATTTAGTTAGTTAGTTTAATTATGTAGTGTTTCCTTTCCCTTTTGCTATTAGGTTGGAGCAACCTGCAGAACTTGGAATGAGACTCGTTGCCCAAATGGTGAAGTTAAAATAGACTACTCCGACCCAACACGCATAGAAAACACTCAAATCAAAGGCAACGTCACGATCATAAGTCCAGAGAAAGTAACCATGTACAGATGTGCAGCAAATGACCTAGATGACAATATCGTTACAGTGTTTGTTTTTAACGCTAACTTGACTCTCAAGCCTGGTAATGTTATTTCAAGTAATCAAGCAGGAGGGGTGTTCCATAAAGTTTCTGATGTCAAAGAATTTGGTAAGAAGCATAAGAGGATGCAACAGAATATAATTGTTTACAATAATGCTTGTACAAAGCTAAAAAAAATACTTACTTTGCGTAGTGAATGAATAAAGAGTACAATTATACTTTAGCATCCAATGTGCTATTTACTAGGGAAATATGATATTCAGTAAGTCGACTACTTGCTAATGACGGAGACAACGATAACTGTTGTATGTTAGAAAGAAAAAATATTATATCGTTGTTATTATTTTGCACAGAACCATATACATTCGTCACTGCTGATCCTGCAAGTATCGAAGATTTTATACAATATGCTGATTTTCAAATTGACGCCACTCTTGCGTCCCTTCAGGATGAAGTAACAGTGGAGGCAGAGCCTGATATGGAAATGCTAAACATTTTAATGTACAGGAATGTATCGTTAAATGAAACTCTTTTTATAGTCCCGTCAGGTAAATACTGCATTTGTCAGTTTTTTATTCTTCTCGATGGTATTTTATGAACAATTTACCATGATTTACAAGTTCTATGCGCAACGTTGGCAATAGACCTGTTCTGCCTGACGGTTTCACATTTTCACATCACTGATCTGCATATCTTATCTCTTACTCTATGCATTTTGTTCACATCATAGATACCTTTGTCTACAAGTGTGTTGGTCATATGTACGAGGCAGATCAAAAAAAAGTTGCATCCTATTATTTGGTTCTTAATGCTTCTAATACGCCGTTCATGATCGAGGCTGGGGATGTTATAGTTTCCAACCAAAGCCATGGATTTCTGTCGACTATAACAAGCATCAACAAAACGTCAGAATTCAGTTTTGTTGAGACGTTTTTAATGAGATGTGATAAAAATACTGAAATGAATGTCAAGTAAGTAGTTCTAAGTATTTTTTGTTCTTTTGCTAAGTGGCTATGATGGTTTGTTGAAAACAAATGGCGGTATTCATATTCATAACTAACCAATATCGGAGGATCGCAAAATGAAACCTGGTAGTGACCAAACTCAGTGTCAACAGTCAAACTAACTGCCTCTCACGTTTATTACCATTTTGTGGAAATGAAGTGGAAGCCATTATTGCATCAGGTGTATATCAAATCGTAATCTATAAAAAAAATTAGGATAGCTAGAAACATCTTGGACTAAATTTCAGGTTTCACGACGAACTGACAAATGGGGACATCATGGGCTGCCCTGGAGGAGATAACAACCCTAATCTTCTGATCAAAGAAACAAACAATGAAATATTCAACATGTCGGTCAATGATGTCATCGTCGATAGATCCAGCCAAGCCTTCGCTGGAAAGGCATGTCCTCTTTGTATTTGTATTTGTATTTGTATTTGTATTTGTATTTGTATTTGTATTTGTTTTTGTTTTTGTTTTTGTTTTTGTATTTGTTTTTGTTTT